GTGAAGGCACTGTGCAGATGTGCTGAACATCTATAATCAGCTGACTTTAGATACAGACGATTACCCTGGATATTGTGGGTGAGCCTCATCCAGTCAGTTGAAAATGGAAGTTCCCAAAGCAGAAGAAATTATTTCAAAACTACAGCATTAATTCCTACCTGAGTTCCCAGCTCATCAGCTTGCCCTACAAATTTCAGACTCACTACTAGCCCCTTCAATTGAGTGAACCAATTCCTTAAAAATAAATCTCATTACATGTATATGTATAATATCCTATTGGTGCTGTTTCTCTGGAAAACCCTGACTGATACTAACCTTTGTGGCGGATATAAGGCTTTATCTGGTTCCAGACTTTGGTTAGCAGGCTGAGTTGTAGACGGTTGTAAGGTGCATTTGATACTAAATTTGCAAGGCACTGCAAAACACAAACGAGAGAACAGCCAATCAACTGGCCTCATTTAGCCACAGTCTAGGAGCAACATTTTATACATTTAATTTAAAAAGAAAAAATTTTACACTGATTTGAACATCAATCCTTTATTGGGGGGAGGACTTATATTCTCATTGGTAAAATTTAATACTAAAGATAAAGGATTATTTTTAATAAATAATTTATTTGGACATACAGAGATTCTAAGACCATACAAGTAAGTACAGACTTCCAAATAGGATATCTTTAATAAAATTAATATTTATTTATATTCTTAAGTCAAGTAACCTCTGGACAGCGTAAAACATTGAGTTATACAAAATTCAAACCGAGAAACCCCTTTAGGACCCAGAGAAAACTTGGTGAATTTACCTTAATGATCTGAGTAAGGGTTTGTGACGATGATTCTGCCACCAAAGCTAACAAAAGGCATCTGTGTAACTCTTTAATGCTGGAAGCGATCATTACGGAGAAGGGAGTAAAAGCCCTTCTGTGGTCACTGGTATCTTCAGCAACAGAAAGAAACTGCTTTGAGCCTTCCAAGATGGCGGATAAAACCTGCAGTGCACAGGCACGTGTCTGAAATTTTAAGAGGATTCACATCTGTTAGTAAAAAAGCAGGAGTTGGATCCTGTTCTCCATATGTAAAAATACGTGTAATTTGCAAAGTATTTAGGATCCCTTTAATTAGAAAAATAAAGGTGATGGGGTTACCTGTTAGGTATAAAATGAGCTACCATATATTCGCATATAACACACCCACATCAAGGATATGCACAAGCATATGAACGCACACAGTTAGCCTAAGAAACTAATGTGCCAGGGGGTGCATGGTTTGCAGAAAAATGTGTAACACGTGTTATTTGCATAAAAATACAGTAGATCACTTGCAACTCCTACTTAAAAAAAAACAAACACCTTAAATCACATTACCGTCAGGGTTTCTTACAGTAAGGAATAAATCTTAGCTATACCATAATTTTAAAAACTGAAATTTTAAGCATGAAAACAACTTACAGATTAGAGGGTTGGTTATTCAAGCATAAGGCCAACTGAAAAGATAGACTTAAACAGTCCAGGGGTTATAAAAATTATACCCAGTCTGTCTAATATCAGACTTTCTAAGGATAGTCTGCTCTGCACTCTACTCCAAAGCATCTATGTTCGTTCAGTATAAACTAACTTAAATGGGATATCGGTTAGTTTTCCCCATTGAAATATAAAATCTACATTGAAATTTGATACTGTAACAAATTATACTTGTTATAATTCAGATTTAATTTCTTTTAAACCTTGTTTAATGTATCTGTTGTTGTAAAAATGTTATTCACAATATTGAATCTGGTCTTAGTTCTGTTTCATTTATTCTTATATCAATAGTTAATAAACTGTTTATCAGTTCTAATCAGCACTTTCAGCAGAAATTACTGATGTGCAAGCAAATCATAATAGGGGCAGGTCTCCAGCGAGTTCATGTTGATGAGGAAGGTTTGAGTGCCTGAATATTTGCAATGATGGATGAAAGGCTTTTCAATCACACAAACATCAGTGTGCTCGGTCTACTAGTGTCTACTTCCGCTTCCTCAGACAGGAAGGCCTGTCCAGGAAACAGGGAAACATTTTTCTTTTTTTTGCTACTTAAAAATGTAGCAGAAATGTTTGCTGAGGTAGCTCAGTCATCCCTCAAGTTTTTCTTTTTTATGCATGTCTCAGAGTATTTCTGGGAGGCTGATGTTTGGAAGAAGTCACTGCTGGGAATGGGCAGCACAGAGGTTTCAAGGCCGGACACCTGCTTTTTCTCTTCTTTGGCTTTGCCCAAGTACTGGTTATTCTTCCCATGCCTCAGGATTAATTTAATTAGTTCGCACTCCTTTCAGGAGGCATTTGAATACTGTGTCAGGGCCTTCAGATTTGGAGATGTCCAAGCAGAGGTGGTCTGTCTCAAGGACTTGAATGGCCATGTAAGAGAAAACCTGGACCTACGTCTGTCTACCTGTTCTAGACGCAGAATGCTGACCATTCTATCAGTTAAAAATTCCATCCTTTTCATCCTCCTTTCTAGCTATGTTATGAATTATCTAGATTTTCATATCCTTCCACATTTCATAGCTCTCTAAAACAGAAAAAAGGCATCATGGAATTTGAAAGCCAGGATAAAAATTCTCCAAGTACCAAGAGAAAGGTTTACAGAGTCAGTCAGTTTCACTTCCAACCACTGACCCACACTCTGTTTCGTGACATTAGCTGCAATCCCCTCAGCGCCCCAGCACTGTTCCCCTGGACTGGGGAGGTGCAGCGAGTGGTTCACTTGGGCGGCTACTCGCTCCACAGCACCATCTGGTTCATCTTTGGCCACTGCCGGCAGCAGCCCCTAGATCGTGGGTCTTCAAATAAACTGCCTTATAATAGTTTTCCTTTCAATTATTAAAATGGCTTCATTACTAACTTAATTGCCACCACTCATTTTCCATTTTTCTCCCAGGTTCTCATTTCATACTGATTCAGTCTATCTGAAACATTTCTGCTGGTTTAACTACTTAGGGTACTGAGTTTTTCATTGTAGCTCAGCATTTCAAATGCCCTACAAGGCATTCTGGTGTATAATTGAGGCTAATGTATTTTTCTTCATATCTGAAGGGTTATCCAAAAGTCTTCTTGTATAGTAGTAATTAGCTACTTAAGAAAAAGATGATAGAGAGCTCCAATGCACTACAGAGAAAACTTTAAAAACAGAAAACGAATACAATTGGCCTAATTAAACCTACTCACTTTCAGAGGACAGTTGATTACCTGAAGACTCCAGATCTCATTCAGCATGACTTTTTAAATGCTCATTATTGTAACCAAAAAACAAACCCACTGCCATTAAGTCAATTCCAACTTACAGCAACTCTATAGGACTCTGGAACTGCCATTTGGGTTTCCAAGGCTGTAAATCTTTAAGGAAACAGACTGCCTCATCTTTCTCCCATGGAGCAGCTGGTGGGTTCAAACTACCGACCCTTCCAGGAGAAGCCCAATGCCTTACCCACTGCACTACCAGAGCTCCTCCTTATTGTAAAGGGTACCTAAATAGCAGATCTTTTCCTTACTTGTTTAAGAGGCTAACTTTCAGAGAGGAGTTAATATATCCAAGAAGAGTTACGTAAATATGGGATATCTTGTAAGCTATGCATGCTGCCAAGCCATTTCTTTGTCATCTTTTTTTTCTTAAAAAAAAATCTGCATATATTTATTGAGAATTTACTGCATCAGGCTTTGAGCCAAAAGCTTTAATTCATGATTTCATTTATTTGAAGAAGGTTGTTATTGTTGTTAATGTCCAGCAGTCTACTATGACTTATGTTGTCATCTTTTTTAAAAAAAAGTTTCTCATGAAAATAATGTAAATATTACATGTGTTTTGAAAAACAGAAAAGCTGAAATAACCATAGTTGTGATCATACTGTATATACAATTCTACACACTGTGTTTTCACAAAACGTTTCCAGCATTTTTCGAAGCCTTACACATCCTTCATACCATTAAGTGCCATGATATTCCATTAAGTTGTTTAAGCCATTTCTTTTTGTTGTTATAAACAACACTTCAATCAACATTTTCATAAAAGGAAGAGACAGCTGCTTCAGTTATAACTCAGCATGTTCAGGCTTTAAGCCAGCCCTAGGGCAGGAGGCTACCTTCACGTGATTTCTGGTACCTGTCTCTCTACTCGTTGTTTATATAAGCCCATTTCCTATCCTCATGTCCACCCAGTGTTCTCAAGTAAGGACCTGGGTTAATATTAATAACAGCTGTGTTCAGATAAGATCAGCTTGGGCAGAGGGAAAAAAAGATTTTAAAATTTTTTATTTGTTTATAAAAGCTTAGAAGTTCTTACCTTTGGAGAAGGATCTTTCAACGTAAGAGTCATCAGAGACACAGACTGTGGGCTTCCAAGTTCAGGTGTATTGGGAACAAAGGCAGACCAATAGCCATAAAGAACTTTTTTTTCTATTGATTTTATAGTAGAAAGAAAACAAGCTAAAGCTCCTTGGCGAACTTTGGCTTGATAAGACCTTTAGCACACAAGAGAAGAAAGGAAAAAAGTCTTTGACAAAACAGGTTTAAAAATGTAAACATGAAATGCTGTTTATTCAGACAATTCAAATTATACATTGAGAAAAAAAATGTTCTCAATAAAGCCTGAAGATGTTGGGATATTAAAAAATATATTTTATCAAAACACATTAAAGCAATTTCTTATATAACAAGTCATTAAAACCAACAATCAAAAAACACATTAGATAGTAAAAGGACAGCATCTTGAGGTTAGGAAACTAGTGTCAGATATGAAACACTGAAGAATAGCCACCCATCCATCTATCCATCCACCCAACCACTCACCCATCTAACAAATAGGTACTGAGTGTCATTACCTATGTGCCAGGCATTGTGCTGAAGTGGCAGACATAAACAGATCCCCCACCCTGACAAACTGATTAATGGCAGGGCAGAGATAGACAGTTAAAGGGATAAAATACATCACCATCAATGCTAAGTTGTGTGTAGGGAGGAGGGGGAGGCCGGAAAAGTCTTTCTCAGAGAAGATCACCAAGCTCGTATTAAGATCAGCGGTGGGTAACAAGGCAAAACATAAAGTTAAGGAAAGACCATTCTATGAGGAGTAACATGTACAAAGGCAGACCAAAGTAGTTAGGCATACCCAGAGTAATGCAAAGCCCTGTGGCGGTGAACCTGAATTGTCAAGGAAATCACATGTGGCAGTCAGCTTTTAAAGTAAATTACAAACTCACAAGTAACTTAGAATATAAAATACAAAAATATTACAAAAAGCTACCTCATTTTACTCTGCATGCCGCCTTCAGCGTCAGAATAGTCTGATTCACTACTGCTGATCCTTTTCCAAACGGAAGAACTAAAGGATGAGGACACA